AGGGTTTAGGGTTTAGGGTCGTATTATTTACAGTGTAATTGTACAGACTTTAGAGCCCAAAGTAGCTTGTATTTGTATACTTGGACTTGGATCCCTAGGGTTATGGTCTTTTCAACTATATGGGCATTAGGTTTTAGCGTACAGGGCGTTCTAGGTCGCTGTACGAATTGCATAAGTTTTGTGATTCGTAGGAGGGCTTGGTGATGTTCCGGGGACTTTTCGATTCTTGGTTATTCTCGGTTTCGCTAAACCCTAAACCCTAAACCCTCAACCCTAAACCCTAAACCCTAAACCCTAAACCCTCAACCCTAAACCCTAAACCCTAAACCCTAAACCCTACACCGTCAGGGCCTGGGCAATGACGCTATGACGAAGGTTGGTGTTCTGTGCTTCAGCGGCATCACTCCGACTCTACCTGCAGTTTAGGTTTTGCATATGGGAGTTTCCCAAAACAAGGGGTACCTTATTTTGGGGTCCTTATAATAAGGATCCTATTATTTAGGGTACTATATTAGGGTCCTCTATTTTCGGAAACCCCCATATGGGTAGTTCTCTACCCCATTTGAGGGTCCCAAGAATAGTACGGCCCTTTGTAAACAGGGTCCTAAAACGGACGCTAACTACCCGTATCGGGACGATGGTGAGCCAGCGCTCTTATTTCTGAAGCAACTTCACCACCTACAGTAAAATCTGAAAGCCCCACCACAGCCCTAAACCCCGACGCCCTAAACCCACAAGCCTGTAACCTCAAAACCCCAAAACCCTACAAACCCCAAACCCTAAACCCTGCTGCCCTTCATGCTCCCCGAGGCCATGAACTCGCAACTGCTCCAACCCCAAACCGCACCCCACCCCCCTAATTTAGGGTTTAGGGGTTAAGGGTTTGGGGTTTAGGGTTTAGTGGTTTAGGGGTTTAGGGTTTGGGGGGTTTAGGGTTTAAGGTTGAACGCTAAGGTGCTAGGGTCAAGGCTTGAGGCTTTCGTGCTGAACCCTGAGTCGAAAAGCCCTTCTCCTGCATAGAACCCTAGGTTAAAGGAAACTACAGGTGGGGAGTTTAGGGTTTATAGGGCTTCTATAAGGCTTCTATAACGTATATAGACCTTCTATAAGGCTCCTGTAACGGTAACTACCCACCTGATAATGTCATAGATTAGGACCTAAAACTCCTCGAAACCTAGAACCCCCAAAGCCTAAAGCCCCTAAAAACCCCTAGGGGTTTAGGGTTTAGGGTTTTGGAAAGCGAAGTAGCTGGGGGATTTAGGTGCAATCGAGCTTTTCCTAGCTGCTGCTTTGGTCTCAAGACGTCTGCAGTGTATACATGCGTTTCACTGCAACTCAAACTCTAGCACTATTATAAGTACTGCAAGAACTACATCTATACAGGAACGTCAACACGGATTCACTAACAG